TTGTTGCTTCCTAATAGTACTAGGAGGCTTCCACACCAGGAATTTTGGAGTTTCAGGGTATATGAAACACAGAATTTCCCCAGGGCTTCCTGAAACACTAGAACACGGCCAGACAGACTTGGCTGTCTACTATTCACCAACCTCATCATATCCATACATTTTGGTAGGGTAACCTTAAAACATGAAAATTGCAGTAAGCAGTGGCTGATGATCACTGAATATCTGGTAAAGAGCCATGAAGTTACCAGCCAAAACCCTCTCAACACACAGGGCCACACAAGTCTTAACAAGAACGTCAAAACTCAGCAAGCAGGTCTCATGTCTTAGGTCTAAAGTCTGTTCTATCTCCATATGTGCAACCATACTGTTTCCATTTATACACCAGAGCACCATTCAGCTCTCTGAGTTCAAACATAGCTGTTTAATCCATAATTGTTTAATATATCACATTCCTTGGGTATAGCATCAGAGATGCACAGCACAGTAATAGTGAGAAATCTCTTTGTTAAGAAAGAGAAGCTTCCCTAGAAATTATTCTACTACCTCCACTTGACTTGCAAATAGGATTTTTGACCAGCAGACATTTGACCACCAAAATGGAGCATGAAAGCTGTTTCGTTACAGTCTCCACAAAAGACCACAGGCTTTCTAGGGAAATGCTGATTTTGGTTTCCCCGTCTCTCTAAGTGCTTAGAGCACAACATGATCCCGCTCCATTGCAAGTGTTACCACAATGTTATTACAGTAGATAAAAGTGTTAGTGTTCGGTCAATTATGCAGCAGATTAAACTAGAACTAAGCTGCAAAGGGACATTAACAAGCTTAAATTAACAAAACTGGTACCTGGTGTCGCTCTGCAAAGAACGCCGTGATTGCAAAAACTCCTGCAAGTAGCAAGTTGTCTTACTCGAGAATTCTATCAAGGTTTTTACACTTCATTCAGCAAAACAACAATAATAAATAGAAATGCACGCACACACACACAACCACCAACCCCGCCATGTCCCTCTGTCACCCCCAGGCAGCCCGTCACTGCAGTGGGGACCCGTTTGCAGCTGACTCAGAGCTACGAGTGCCACCTACTGAACAGCCAGCGCCACCAGGCAGCGCGGTGCCGGGTCACGCAGGATGGTGCAGGGTTCGTGCAGGATCCCCACCACTCCTGCTCCCGCCAGCTCTGCCACCAGATGGGCACGAGCTGCCAGACCCACCACACTTCAAAACTAGCAGGTATTTGATAGTTGCTTTTCAAGGTGCTTACTTTCCTATTCAGTGAGCAAGTTCACTACTGTTTTCGTAGGCACAACTGTTAGGAATAGGTTTCTTGCCTGTAATCTTCTGCAAGAGCACAGACCATAGGCATCCAAAGGAAAATTGCCCAAGGGCATCAAGGGAAGCTCACAGGGAAAGGGAGCTTCGGAGGTGGCTCCAGTGGAGGCTGAGCAAAAAGTTACCTACCCTTTGGACACTTTAAAAGGAAAGCAGGTGACAAAATTTAGCAACAAATTACATTCCAAGAGGCTAAAGTAAAAAAGCATTTGAAATGTGGGTGTCTCGAGTATTCACAATTTACATCTGCTACAAACTTTGCATAAGGTAGGGAAAATCCTAAGTTATCGTCTCATGAGCTGAAAGAAGGTCCTAAGCACTTTGTGTTAAAGCTCTCCTATCGACATGATGGTGTTTGCTTACATGTCCCTTTCACTTTTAGTATTAGTTTAATTTTCATCTAAAATAATGTTAAGTGATGCAGAGAAAAGTTCCATTTACCCCATATATATACATACATATATATATATACACACACATACATGTATGTGTGTGTTCTTCAAGGGTAAAATCAACTGGGAGCACTTCGTATCTTCTAGAACTGCAGCAAATCTCGCCAATATCTATAAAACAACTGCTGCTGCTAAAAGTGATGGCAACTTGTTGTTTATGGCGCCAACCTCAACTCTGAACTACCTTGCTTTGGTGACCAACCAGACCACCACAGCAAGACCATCTCTTACCCTGAATACAGCTCATAAGGAATAAAAAAGAAGGTCTCAGAGCTTTAGAAAGCATACTTTCTATCAGCAGGATATAATGCAGTTTTAAGATCATATTCTGTGTAACGCATGTGCTTTGTCTATTGAACAATCATGGATGGGACAGCACAGCTCAGTTAAAGAAGCACATGCTTTTACAGTCTGAGAGATTTTGTCATAAAAAGCATACTTAAGGTGCGCAAGTTGCAACAACATGAAACAAAGTGACTTTGTTTCCCCAAGCATCCTATCAAAACCCCCCAAGGCTCCGAGTCCTTTCACTGGAAGCATCACTGGCACCGCACGCAAAGTTTCACAGACGTCCAGACATAACTAACCAGACCGGCTGGAGCAGCACTATCAGCACGTGCAGCTACGCCTAGACCTGCTTATTTTGCTTCAGCTAACGCTAAAGCACCGGTTCTTTTCATACCTTGTAGATATTGGCAAATACAACATACTATAACCATAAGATGGAGAGATCGTTTGGATTTTTTTTTTCAGATATCTACCATTGATTTCTGAATCATTTTAGCGATGTTCGAGATGCAGGACGGCGTAGTACGAAACACGAGTGCCTACACCTAACACTACCACTAACGCTAATCCCGCCGCGCCACCCCGCGCTCCCGGCACAACAGCAGCCCCGTCCCTGCGCGCGGAGCCCGGCGTGGC